CACCAGACATTGAATTGAGCCCACCTTAATTCCCTATGATCTCATTTAACTTGATTATATCTGCAAAGACCCTATTTCCAAATAAGATCATAGTCACAAGTACCAGTGGTTAGAACGCCAGTATATCTTTTAGAAGGATACAGTGCAACCCACAGTAGGCTCCAATTAGCAAAATCATCAGTCACTGAAATTCAGAGGTAGGGTTGCAGTGCCTCAAAGGTAATAGCACTTTTCTACACCAACCCCTGGTAGCACCCCCAGATACCATCAGGATGGGAAGTACGTGCGTATAAAAATACACCAATCCCTACTGTACTTTAAAGGTAGAAGCAACCAAAAAAGTACATCGAGTTGGACCAATGTGCCCACCCACAAGGTCACATTAGTTTCCCTCACCTCCTGGGACCCTTGTGATTCCTGGTCAAACTGCATTGGCTATATTTGGGCACCTCTTCTGTCCATGCAAGTGAATAGAGTGGCGCTTTGGGTGCCTGATCCAACAGAGTCATAAAAGTTTGAAACCCTCCCTATCCTGTGAAATCAGTTCATCTTCCTCACCTCTTCATTTAGAGGTGGGCAAGATTTAATTAACATTCCATACACTAAAGTCAGTGTGATGTAGGTAAGAATATGGTCTTTGGAGTCAGACACACATGGGACTGAGTCATATCTGCTCTCTGCTGTTTGGCCATAAACAAGTTACATAATCTCCCTGTTGAAAAACAAAATTCATCTGAGTACATTTTAAAGATCTTATTGACTAGTCAACAGGGAAAAAGGGAGACCAGTAAAAAAAGGGCTGAAAAGGTGTCAGTAGTAAATCATCTGGAACCTTGTCAGCTGCGAAGAGGAATGGGGACTTTCATCTGTTGCAATGGAAAGGCACTGACGGGTTTTAGGAATCGAATTGGCATCACTTGATTTACTAAAACCAACAGAAACAAACAAAAATCCATTAATATTCACAGTGGAGGATGAACCCAGCAGAATGAGAGAGCAAGCAGGACAATTAGGAGGCTGCTGCTGAGATCCACGTGAGAAATTTTGTAGCCTGGATGAAAAAATGGAGATAAATCTTTGGATATTTCTGCCACTTATTCCAAACAAGAGGGTCACCTAATCATCTAACATGTCGTAATTACTGTAGCCTGTCCCGTGGATCTCTGCGTAAAAGATAAACTTACTAGGCATGCGTACTTGATGATAACATCTATCACTGCCAGAGGATTAATTTTCTTCTACCTAATTTGTATTAAGCGAGTGACTTTCTGATTGATTTTTAAGTTAAAAGATGTTTTCAATCTTCCTAGAGAGTGTTAATTCAAAGATATGAATATTCTGATTATTCCAGAGGTGGCATTGCTTTCTGTAAGTCTTTAAAATGACATTTTGACTCATACATAAGCTTTTGATGAGGTGGCTAGAATGACCCAATGCTACTGAATCTGATCAACTCTCAGTAAACTATCATTAACCACATAGTACATTGACTTCAAAAGAGTAAATAATCTTTTACCAAATAACAAAACATTTAAAAAAATTTTAAATTTTTTTACATTTTTTATTGAATTATAGTCATTTTACAATGTTGTGCCAAATTCCAGTGTAGATAACAAAACATTTTAGCAATATGTACAACATATTATAAATGTTTTAGATCATTGGTAGTTACAACTGAGCATATGAAAAAAGCTTTATTATTATATTGAAATTGATCTACTTTTTCTGTAGCTTGTGTTATATGCATATATTCTGAGACAATAGTGAAAACATACCATTAAAGATAGCTCTGTGGTAGGGGACAAAATACTAACAATGAGCCAGAAGCACAGAGATCAAGTTTGGTATTTTCAACTTGCTGAATACAAGGGTTGGTAACCATCACTTAACCACTTTGGGCTACAACTACTTCCTCTATAACTGGAAAATATTAAATTTGATGAAGATAATATCTCCCTCAGCTCAGAAGTCCCATGTCTTGTCCAACGTGAACTTTAATCCATTAGTGCAAGAAAGAAATAATAAAGGTTTCAAAAAGAAGAGCAGAGATTTGGTTATATCAAAAATCCAGGAGTAGGCTAGTCAGTTATTCATCAGCCATAAAATGGTCTTTTCTTTCGCTCCAAACACAACCATTCGTCTACCCATCCAGTCATGATTATTATTCTCAAAAGAGTAAAATTTACAAGAATGGCGACCGCAATATGTAGTTGCATGAAATTTATTTTGACTCTATAGAAATTAAAAACAAGCCATATAAAAATCCGTGGACAAGAAGCCCTGGAGAATTAATCACCGAATGTTAAAAAGAAACAAGGCGCTTCCACCCACCCTGATTAATTTCTTATTTATTTAATCAAAGTTAATCTACTAACCAATGCACTGTAACAAGTTCATTCATTTGCTAACTCAAAAAATATATGTCTCTAATATGATCACGAGTGCATTCAACAAGTATTGAGCATTTACTATATGCTAGGTGCTCTGCTAACTAACAGCCATTGTCTTCACTCTGGTGGAAAAGTCAAACAATAAATGAGGTGGATAGTAGCTTGCCATAAGAAATTTGAAGGAAATAATCATGGTGCTATTAAAAACAAAGTAATACGGAGATTCCAGTTATCATCTTATATGACATTGTACCCAAGAAATTGATTGACTAGATATATATTAATTTGATAAAGTATAATATTCCTATGCTTTTATATGGATGGTGGCATAAAATAGCTTAAATTATCCCGCCTTTTAAGCTACCATGTAATATAACCGTCCATATTCATGTAAACAGAGAACTTTAATTATTATCCAATAATTTTCTCACTTAAATAAATACTCATTGGCTCTCTCCTTTGGGCCAGAGAATGAATCTCAGAGGTCATTTAATTCAATTCCCTCAATAAATATATTTTTAAAGATATATTAAATAAATATATATTTTAAAGTAAGCTGCTTTTCCAAAGAAACTCAGGTAGTGATGAAGCAAGGCAAGGAACCCAGGTCTTCTTGAAATATATTAAGTTTTGTTTTTTGATTATGTGTGGTTTTTAAAACAATTAATTGCTGCTATTCAGGGAATGACCAACTATAAAGCATTTGCATTAGAGAGCTCTAAAAAGATTCATTAAAAAACTGAGTTAATTAAAATTGTATGAAACTTCTCAACTTGGAAATATTCACGGGCAGAATCAATGATATTTCTTATGAAGCTTCTGCAAGTTAGTGACTAAAGTCAGAAAACCGAGTGTGAAAAGAGACAGTTTTGGTAATAACATATGGAAATAAATCCAAAATATCTTTATTTTCATTGAATGTAAATAAGCTCATCTACTAAAGAGTAAAGAGAAAGGAGATTTTCTTTTCCCTCTGTGCGGTCATTTGAGAGAGTTAAAAGGTAGTGACATACATTTCTAGTTAAATAGAAAATTATGGGGCAATTGATATGCCAAATGGTGTTGGATTTAATTAAGAAGAAAACATGAGAAAGAACAGACATTCTTGGCTTGCAGTTTGGTCACTGAGAAAGGTAAGAGATTAAAGTAGGGCTTTCAGAATAAATATTTGAGGGAATTTGGGAAAAAATTTGAGTCAAGGAGTGAATATTTTGATCCTGGTTGATAGTAAAGAAAAGCCACTGCAAAGATCTAATAGCATAAGTTTTAATAATTATTAAAAATTCCATAATTTTTGAAGAGGGGTGGGTATAGCTCAGTGGTACAGCGGGTGCTTTGCATGCAGGAAGTCGTGGGTTCAATCCCCAGTACGGTTATTAAAAAAATAACGAACCTAATTACCACACTCCTCAAATTCCATAATCTTGAGATACACGAATAAGCATAGAAACATGTAAACACACACACACGCACATACACACACATACACACAATTTTCCTTTCTAGTCTTCCACTCCATGTCGGTATGTAAACGGTCATGGTCTGGAAGCAGGGAGAGAGAGAGATGGAAGACAGAAGAAGAGATGTACGCTGTGACCTAGCTGTCCTCACTTGAAATTACCGTTAAGATATGGAAAACGTGTATGACAAATGTTGAGTAGTGTTGTGCCTCTAGTAGCCACCTCTTTAGATTTCCCACCTCCAGCATTTTAGAACCCTTATTATGACTGAAGGGAACTCGACTTTCTCTAGTCAACTGTGCTTCCCGGCCAGAAGCTGGCCAGGGTTGTGAGAGGATTCTAGAAGCAGCTGATTCTCCTGTTCCTCTGGTGCTCAGCACCACATTCTCTGCTCTTCCCCGGCCCTTTCCAAGGGTCTGGGTTAGTGTTCACTCTTGGCATTTCGATGTAAGGTCAAAGAGACAGGGTCACATCCAAAGAGATCTTTCGTTACTAAATTGCTCCTTTTCCCTTAAGAGAGCAATGGAGGGTGCCTCTAGCGCGATCCTGCTACCTAATCCATAAGTGCCACTGACTCCCCCGATTCTTAGCCCCAAGGGTTCCTTCCCCCAATTCCCTCCAGTCGCGGTTAAGGCTCTGCACCACTTACTGCCTTTTTTTTTTTTTTTTTTTAAAAAAAGCCTGGAGAGCTAAGCACCGCCTACCGTCGTGAGTGGTCTGTCACTCTGCCCCGCTGTGCGGTCGTGATTGGCGGACGAGACGCTGTCGGCTGGCCCCGCCCCGCCCGCTTCCCTTTGCCGCGCTGGAGGCTCGGGGTTTACCCAAAGGTGGAAAGTGGGGTTCGGGAGGGCGGCGCTTGAAGCAGGTGCAGACGCATTCCCGTTCCGGCTGTTGCTGTTCTCTCTCCAGTCGTGGGTCCGAGTCGGGAAAGGACAAGCATTCTTCCTTTGCCGCTGGAGCTCCGGTGAACCGCTGCCCAGAACCTAGGCACTCATCTCACCCATTATTCCGCTCTCACTGTGCCAGTCACCTGCACACTTGTAATCCCGTGACTGTCCCTTCTGCTCAATGCTCGGAGAAGGGGTCGAACGGGAATTTCGAGCTTTGGAAAGAGAGGGTCCCCTCGGCCCGCGGGGAGCTGTCTCAGGTGCTGAAGCGTTGCCGGCGTCTGTCTCCGCCAACCCCGCGCGGAGTTAGACCGCGCACTCTCGTTCCCGGCTCTCTCCTTCCTTCCCCATGCCTTGGATAAGACTAATTTCAGAACTGTGAATACATCTCTCCGTATCATGGCCTACGTGAGACACTTTCGGACATTAGTTTCTGGATTTTACTTCTGGGAAGCAGCGCTGTTACTCAGGTGAGTCCGCTTGTGTATTACAGTTGAGGAACTCATTCAAGCCTTGAAACCACTTGTTATCGATGAAACCAAGAATGACTTGTTGAAAGTATCCCTTAAATCGTGTTTTCTGTCTAAAAGTACCTAGCAGTCTGTCTCTTGAGACCTAGAAAACGTGTAATTTTGCTCTATTTTCACTAATTAGTGTATTTTAGTAACCGACATCTTATTTGCAGCTGAGATTACCCTAGAAATGTTATTTCCAAAGCCTAGGTTTTCCTTCTCAAATTGCTTTTAGAGTTTCTTTTTTCTAAATGAATGCTAAATTCTGAATGTCACTCCCAGAAAGTTAAAAAAATTTAGTAATAAAAAATTACTAAGTTACAAAACATCTAGTAATTAGAAATATAACATTACTAATTTTTTAAAAGGCAAAAAAAAAAAAAAAAATTCCAGACCATAAGCATTTAGTGATCAGAGAAATTCTGAACAGTGTTGATATATCCAGAGGTTAAGTTTAAATGAATAAAATCGTGAAGGCCTTGCAAGTACTATTTTCTAAAGAGCTTAGTTCATGGAGGCAAAATCATAAATAAATCACCAGATAGGTTCTATGTCGAGAATAATTGTCTTCGAGAAAGTAATAAGAAACCTATTGAACAGTAACATTGTTCTATGACTTGTCATTTTCTTATCATGTCCAGTCATATTTGGTAGGCTTCCTTTCTTTTTCTTTTTAATTAAAAGAGGAGAAGAGAGCCTAAGCAAAAGAGCAGGTAATTTAACTCCCATTCTTAATCAAACAATGTATAAGCAAGACACTGCTCATATAGATTTCTGGACTACCAATATAGATATTACTTTACTGTTATAATTACCTTAGAATTTACATTTTATGGCTCACAAGCTTTTCAAGAAGATTGAAATCAAATAATTAGAGGAATCAAGTTATGTGTATACTGATTTCCATTTGAAGTATGTAAATATTCTTTGCTGAGTTGCTATGTCAATTTTTCATCTTTGGGCACTTCAGAAAAACATAACATATCCCAGAAAAACGACCTTTAGTAACAGGAACTAGTTGTGAAGGTTATTGTATTTCTGAAATTATTAACTTTTCCTGAAGTAAGGGGTTACATCATTGCAAATAAGAATATTTTCAGTGAAAAATACTTAATATGACAGTAAATTTTTGTAACTTTACAGTTGTCACAAATTTTATATGTAGTAGAGTGTAGAGCTTTTACATTTTTGTAACTTTCATGGAAAGGGTAAAAAAATTATGTTGTAAGATAAATTAATCCTTCTACTATAATTATTTCTTAGTACCTTAGATGATAGTATGCATATTTATTTTTTCAAAGAAATTGGAATAGCTTACTTCCTAGATATTTAGATTTAGGAAGTTTAATGGCAATAACTAAAATATTTTGACTGATGAGGTCAAATTTGTATAATGCCAATTCACCATAATATTTGTTATAATATATTCTTAGATATATAATCTTCATCACTATATTTTCCTGTTCTTGTCTAGTTTTATTGAAATTCACAAAAATTGTATTTCAAATTCATAATTATGATTATAAGAATTTATCTTATTACCATAAAATAATTTAGTTTAAAATTCTTTTAACAAATAACCTCAAAATGTAATCCCTTGAAGAAAACATACCCAATATAGAAGTTTATGTGATATAGATATTCGTAATCAAGCTTTTTTTTCACAAATCAAATAAAAATTTCTTCTTAGACTAGTCTTAGATGAAAGTCTTTCACTCTATGAAAAACTTTAATCATTTGTAAAAAATATTAAATATTTTTATTTTCAGTGATAACCCTTGAAAAAAAATTTCCTATAGAAATTTCCTTTAGAAAGTGAAACTCCCTCTGCTGGAAATATTTTGTAAAATACAGTTTCTTTATTGAGACTATTCTTTATTCACTAAGTGTATTCATGACGTATTGAGCAAAAACAGGAAATATGTAGAGGAAAAAAATTATTTTTTAATTTATAAATTTTTTTTAATTTAAAAATATTATTTCCAGGGCAGTTCGGATGCAAGAACAACCAGAAACCATAGAAATTTATAATTAAATAATGTACTAATAGAGTGTTTTTTTCCCTAGGTTTAACATTTTAAAAACACTTTATTGAGATGCACACAGAAAAGTGCACAAATAACAAGGTTCCATATAAAGTTGCACAAAAGTAACACACCCAATGCACAGAGACCACGGACCAAGAAGTAGAATTATCAGTATCATGGAAGCATTCACCCTGCTCCCTCTCACCACCAAATCCTTTCCCAGGCACTACTTTGCCCAAAGATAATCACTATCCTGACTTATGGAACAATAAATATGCTTTTTCCCCTAACATTGAACTTTGTATAAATACTTATTTGAGTCTGCTTTATTTTTATGAGAATTATATGATTTACCCATGCTGTGATAACTTTTTTATTCTCATTGCTGTATGGTATTCCATTACATAAATTTAGCCATTGTCCTATTGAGGGATATTTGGGTATTTTTTATTTTTTATGTTTTAGGTTTTGGCTAGTGCTACTATGAACAGCTTTGAGTATACCTTTTTTGTTTGTGAATATATGCATTTTGGGGACAATATGAGTTGGATCCAAGAGTTTCTCCAGTAGAGGGATTGCTGGATCATAGTGTGGATATGAGTTTGTTTAGCTTTAATAGA